CGCCTGGGAGGAAGGAGGCGGAGCCTTACACTAGTCTAGACTGAGCTGGAAGGTGACTTCTACCCAGGGACAGAAGCTAGCTCAGTCTGTGCTGCTGCAGCCGCAGCGCACTGGGATGACCAAAAGGTGGCCTTGGAGGGCCGCCTGACTCCTGGCCACTGTCTGCGCCTCCCGTCCTACCCAGTACTTTTGACCGGCAGGGTCGTGCTTGAGGTCAATATGGACCGGAAAATCCCATGGAATAGTGTAATAGAACTGGTACAGTCCTGGAGCCTCTGATGCGGTGTGCAGTCCTAAATTGAGAACAAGAGTGTTATTGAGCTTGGTGAGGTCACAACCTACTTCCCAAATCAGGTCCGTCCTCAATAAACCAATTAAAAGAACCAAATTAAAAGTTGAAAGCAGAGGCCGGGCGGTGGTGGCACATGCCTTTGATCCCAGCACTCCGGAGGCAGAGGCAAGTGGATCTCTGTGAATTCGAGTCCAGTCTGGTCTACAAGAGCTAGTTCCAGGGCAGCCTCCAAAGCTACAGAGAAACCCTGTCTCGAAAAACAAACAAACAAACAAAAAGTTGAAAGTAGAAAAAGGAAAATTTTTTTTCAATGTGGACACATTGGGAAGAGGGACAAAGAGGTCCAGAGAACCCAAGTCTTCCTTTGGAATCCTAAACTGAGATAAAAAATTAAATAGTAGGCCAAGGATATGCACATCTAAGCAGTCTTGGTCAAGGTGTGGTCCTGGCTACCACCACTGACCCAACATTGTTTTAAATCTCTTTCCAGGGGTCAGAGGTAGGTGGATGGCTGTGAGTTCAAGTGTGGCCTGGACTACATAGTGAGTTCTAAGCTAGCCAGGCCTACTCAAAAAGCCAAAAACAGAAAAAGAAAACTAGAAGTCCCATTCCAGGACACAACTTCCCCCCACCCCTTCCCTTGGTGTTGAATTTTCCTTCTCCCAGGATGAGATTTCTGTGGAAATTTCCATTTCTCTGGGGTCCATCGTTTCACAAGTCTGATAGTCAGATTGAGAGACACAGTGTCTCTTTAGAATGCCTTCATTTCTGCCAGGCTGGTTACAAAAGGACTAGATAGGGCCTGCTTCTGCCACCCATGTTGATGTTGAAAAGCCCTTCTTCTTTGCCAGCCCATTTGCAGAGGAGTGGGTCTGAGGCACAGATCTCTTGGGAGGTGGAGATGTAGCTGAGTGGTAGAGTTCTTGCAAAATATTAAGGCAACCTTGGGTTCCATCCACAGCAAGAAAAAGAAGGAAGTGTGGGGGGTGGGGTAGGGTAAAGACTTCAAGTCTGACAAGCACCTGGCATTTGACCCAGAGTGTGTAAGGCCTCTCAGGACCTCTGGGTTCCTCAGTGAGGAGGACAGAGTTTGTCTGGCTTTCTTTGCTACTTGAGAAAATTCAAAGAACTTATGTCCAGAAAAGTGTGACAAAGACCATGATATTTTCTTGGGATTTTCAATAAATTCATTTTAAGAAAAATAAAACCGGGCTGGAGAGATGGCTCAGCAGTTAAGAGCACCGACTGCTCTTCCAGAGGTCCTGAGTTCAATTCCCGGCAACCACATGGTGGCTCACAACCATCCATTATAAGATCTGGTGCCCTCTTCTGGTGTGCAGATATACATGGAAGCAGAATATTGTATACAAATAAACAAAATCTCCGGAGGCAGAGGCAGGTAGATCTGTGAGTTCAAGGCCAGCTTGGTCTACAGAGTCAGTTCCAGGACAGCCACGGCTACATAGTGAAACCTTGTCTCAAAACACTAAATAAATAAATAAATAAATAAATAAATAAGAAAAAAGAAAAAGAACCAAAGGCACAAAGGTGCTGCAGGCCTACAGTCCCAGCTACTTAGAAGGCTAAGGCAAGAGGCTTACAAATTCAAAGCCAGCTTGGTCTACTCTGAATCCACGGCCAACTTGAGCAATTTAGGAAGAGCCAGTCTCAAATTTTAAAAAGAGGACTGAGGTGCCATTTGAAGATCATGTGGATAATCCCAGCACTAAAGAGACAGAAGCAGGAGGATTGCCATGAGTTCAAAGCCAGGCTGGTGTACATGGTGAGTTCTAGGGCTGCCAGGGCTACATAAATTAAAATGCTGTCTGAAAATAAATAAATAAAAAAATCAACCAAACAACAACAAAAAGAAAGAAAAGAGGAGGGATATAACTCTGGTGGAGTACTTACCTAGAACATGGAAAGCTAGTCAACCCTGTTGCTACAAGTAGAATGAACACAACTTCTCTTTTAGAGCATCCTTGTCATTTAAAATCTAGGATGCATACATTTGTTTTCATTGAATAAGCATTATTGTGTATATGATGTATTTGTGTGCCAGGCACCCAATTCATTTATGGCCATTATCTCTGTCTCCTAACTTGTAAGAGACCTAAAGCTTGCCTTTTTAGGAAAACAGTCAAGCTGGTGTCCTCCAAATTTAAATTCAATAATGACACTCCTTTCAGGCTTATACTGGTGTGCATCTTGAACAAAGATATTAGGGGTGTCTAAACACTGGGCACTCAAAGCAAAGCCACTCTGATAAGTGCCACCTAGGACAAGTCACTTAAGAGAGTAAACCACTACACGTTAAAGTAGAAGATTATGGGACTAGAAAGAGAGCTCAGCAGTTAAGAGTACTAGTTGCTTTAAGGTGGGCATTGGTGGTGGCACGCCTTTAATCCCAGCACTCGGGAAGCAGAGGCAGGTGGATCTCTGTGAGTTCGAGGCCAGCCTTGTCTACAGAGCAAGTTCCAGGACAGGCTCCAAAACAATACAGAGAAACCCTGCTCAAAAAACAAACACAAACAAACAAAGAACTAACTGGATCCTTCCTCATATTATATGGGGAACACCAATAGCTGGAGCCCAAATTCTATACTGATGCAAATAAATCAGAAAAAGGCAGGTTACAAATCAGAAAATTTAAGTAAAGTGACTCAGAGCCCTTATGGTTCTGTCCAAAAGTCAGAATTATATGTTATTCTCATGGTATTAATGAATTTTATGGAAACTCTCAACATCGTTACTCATTTCAAATATGCAGAAAGAGTTGTTTTACTTATTGAAACCATTGAATTTATACCAGATGATACAGAATTGACTTCATTATTTATTCAGTTGCAAGAAATAATCAGGAATAGGAATCATCCCACATCTATATATGTATCTATATCTATATATATCAATCCCATACCGGTCTGCCAGGCTCTCTAGCACAAGGTAATGATGAAATTGACCAACTATTGATAAGAAATGTGCTGGAGCTGGGTGTTGGTGGCGCATGCCTTTGATCCCAGAACTCTGGAGGCAGAGGCAGGCAGATCCCTGTGAGTTCGAGACCAGCTTGGTCTATAGAGCTAGTTCCAGGACAGCCTCCAAAGCCACAGGGAAACCCTGTCTTGGAAAAAAAATAAAGAAATGTGCTGAAGGCCTCAGAATTTCATAAGAAAACATCATGTCAATAGCAAATGTTTGAAAAAAGACTGTTCCATCACATGGCAACAAGCCAAGGAAATAATAAGGAAATGTGCTACTTGTTCTTTATACAACCAAACTCCACTACAGCAGGAATGAAATCTGGCAGATGGATGTGTTCTGTTTTGTAGAACTTGGAAAATTAAAATATGTACACCACACCATTAATACCTACTCAGGATTTCAATGTGAAACTGCTTTGAGTTCTGAAAAGGCTGATTCTGAAATCACATTTTTCCTATAAGTTATAGCCAGCATGAGTATACCTGTACAAATCAAGACACATGCTCAAGCATGTGTTTAAAAAAATAAAACAGTTTCTTGCTTATTACAATATAAAGCATATTACAGGTATACCTCACAATCCTACAAACAAGCAGTTATAGAAAGATCAAATGGAACTCTAAAGGATATGCTAAACAAACAGAAAGGAGTAATAAAGACCCCCCAGAAATAGATTGCATAGTGCTTTATTAGCTTTGAATTTTCTGAATGCTAATGAGAAAGGAATGACAGCTGCAGAGAGACATTGGATAATAGAAAAAAAAAACCTGTTGAATTAAATCAGCCTGCATACTTTAAAGATGTGTTGACCTTGAAAGACTCCAGACCCCTAAGAGCTTCAGGATCCCGAGGAGCCCCTGAGACTCAGAAACCAGACCAAGAGTTGCAAAAGCAAGAGTGCTTATTGAACGAATGCGCACTCGGGTGTCAGCAATACCGGGAAAGCTGCATACCCCAGCGTGGGGTGCAAGCTCCTTACATAGGAAAAAAACCGCAGATCAGCATACAGGCAAGGGGCACAAAGTGATTGATCACAAAGTATGATCTCATGTTAGAGTGGTCACCCAGGTGTGACCTGCTTTTCTACAAAGGAAAAACCATAGAATGTACTCTGAAATGTCCCCTATTATCTGTTAGTCAGGTGTGACCCAAAAAGGATTGTTTGTCTGCCCTCGGGTTGGGGCCAATTTCCTTGTCCTGGGCCAAGGCCTGTGGGAAACTTTTTCTCTCAGCAAACTAAAATCTTTCAACCTCAGAATGGAAACCAGGACATGTGTTACGTGGGGAAGGGGTTTTGCTTTTGTTTCCACTGGAGAAGAAAAGTTATGGATACCATCAAAGTTTATAAAGATTAGATTTGAACATCTCTTAATTAGAAGAGATGATAGTTCATAAAATAGGATGGCTGTTCAATCTAAACTAACTTATGCAACTAACAAATGCTTTTCATTGGATCAGATATAACTTGCCATAAGGGAACCTCCCCAAAGTTAGGGTTGGGCAGGGTTCTGTTTTTGTCTTTTCAGGAGCATGAAAGCATCCAACTAAGGAATCTGAAGACCACTGGACAAATGAGACATCTGAAAGAAAAGACAATTCATCCAGAAAAAAAAAAATGTCCCAAGAA